TCAACATCCTAAGGGAGAACACAGGCAGCAACCTCTTCGACCTCAGCCGCAACAACTTCTTCCTAGAAACATCGCCAAAGGCAAGGGAAGCAAGGGCAAAAATGAACTATTGGGACTTCAAGATAAAAAGCTTTTGCAAAGCAAAGGAAACCGTCAACAAAACCAAAAGACAACCGACAGAATGGGAGAAGATATTTGCAAATGACATATCAGATAAAGGACTGGTATCCAAAATCTATAAAGAACTCATCAAACTCAACACCCAAAGAACAAGGAATCCAATCAAGAAATGGGCAGAAGACATGAACAGACATTTTCCCAAAGAAGACTTCCAAATGGCCAACAGACACATGAAAAAGTGCTCAATATCGCTCGGCATCAGGGAAATCCAAATCAAAACCTCAATGAGATACCACCTCACACCAGTCAGAATGGCTAAAATTAACAAGTCAGGAAATGACAGATGTTGGCAGGGATGCGGAGAAAGGGGAACCCTCCTCCGCTCTTGGTGGGAATGCAAGCTGGTGCAGCCACTCTGGAAAACAGTATGGAGGTGCCTCAAAAAGTTGAAAATAGAGCTACCATATGATCCAGCAATTGCACTACTGGGTATTTACCCCAAAGATACAAAAGTAGGGATCTGAAAGCGTACGTGCACCCCGATTTTTATAGCAGCAATGTCCACAATAGCCAAACTGTGGAAAGAGCCAAGATGTCCATCGACAGATGAATGGATAAAGAAGATGTGGTGTATATATACAATGGAATATTATGCAGCCATCAAAAGGAATGAGATCTTGCCATTTGCAACGACGTAGATGGAACTGGAGGGTATTATGTTGGGCGAAATAAGTCAAACAGAGAAAGACATGTATCATATTACCTCACTGATATGAGGAATTCTTTTTTTTTTTTTTTTAAAGATTTTATTTATTTATTTGACAGAGAGAAACACAGCGAGAGAGGGAACACAAGCAGGGGGAGTGGGAGAGGGAGAAGCAGGCTCCCCGCCGAGCAGAGAGCCCGATGTGGGGCTCGATCCCAGGACCCTGGGATCATGACCTGAGCCGAAGGCAGACGCTTAACGACTGAGCCACCCAGGCGCCCGATATGAGGAATTCTTAATCGCAGGAAACAAACTGAGGGTTGCTGGAGTGGGGGGTGGGGTGGGAGGGATGGGGTGACTGGGTGATAGACACTGGGGAGGGTATGTGCTCTGGTAAGCGCTGTGAATTGTGCAAGACTGTTGAATCTCAGATCTGTACCTCTGAAACAAATAATGCAATATATGTTAAGAAAAAAAAAAAAAGAAGAAGAGGAAGAAGGTAGCGGGAGGGGAAGAATGAAGGGGGGGGAAATCGGAGGGGTAGACGAACCATGAGAGATGATGGACTCTGAACAACAAACTGAGGGTTCTAGAGGGGAGGGGGCTGGGAGGATGGGTTAGCCTGGTGATGGGTATTGAGGAGGGCACATTCTTCAATGAGAACTGGGTGTTATGCCCAAACAATGAATCATGGAACACTACATCTAAAACTAATGATGCAATGTATGGGGATAATAAAAGAATAAAAAAAAAAAAAAAACAGCTACACAGATTTATTGAATGTGAAGAACTACATGTGTGATAAATACCTATTTGCCAAAGATGCACATTCAGAGGAATTGCCTACTTTGGTCAGCTGCAGCTTGCTTGATGAGAGAAGCCATGATAGCCAGATCATGCTCTGTGCTCCAGCCTGGGTCCTTCAGAGGCTTCAATAGGCCACTAAGGAACTGAGTTTCTGTGACTTAACACCTAGGCATCCACCTTGGTGTCACAGAAATGTTGTTGAGGGTAGGAGCAAGAGAGAGCTTGTAACATGGTCCTGTATCCCTGACTTCTGTATGGAAATACTTCTCCTTACCAACTCATACATTGTATTTTTTTATGGAAACTAAAAATATTGCACTGAATGTATTTCTCTTTTTGCTTTGGACACTTGAAAGCTCCCATTGAACTGTGTGACCTTAGTAAGTGTGAAGTACTGTGCAAAGTATGTTTTTAGGAATTGTGGCTTCAGTGTCTTGTTCTGATGGTTGCTAATCAATTACTCTTTTTTGTCTATTGCATATAGATTTCAAAGCACCACAAATCCTATTTGGAAAAATAATAGAGATATAAATGAAAAAAAGGTGATGTTTGGTGAGAGAACGGCTGATGTGGTGTTGAGCAAGAGGAGATATGAATAAAAAAGCTGAGATGGGAGGGGAGTAGCCTTTGAATATTGAAGAAATGTGGGGAATGAGATGGGGGAAGGGATAAGAAATTAATGACAGGATCAAGATTTGAGAGAGTGTTAGCAAAGATAGTGTACTGGAATCTGAGCAGTGAGGACAGCCCAGGAAGAGGGAGGACTTTCCAGCCATACCCCAGGGCAGTCTAATCACCACATCTTATTTAGTTAGTAATTTTTTTTTTGTCTGGGTATTTTAAAGATTTTTCTCTTTATCCTTTTCATTGTGACATGTCAACTTTTGTTGATCTGTGTCAATGCTGCTTTGTGCTCAGAGCAAACTTTTAATGTGAGAATTAATGTCTCTTTTTTTTTATTTTTAAAGATTTTATTTATTTGCTAGAGAGAGAGAGCATAGGCGAGAGAGAGTGAGCGAGAGTACAAGCAGGGGGAGCAGCAGGCTCCCTGCTGAGCAAGGAGCCCCATGCGGGACTTGATCCCAGGACCCTGGGATCATGCATGACCTGAGCTGAAGGCAGCCGCTTAACTGACTGAGCCACCCAGGCGTCCCTTAATGTCTCTCTTAAATCCTGGAAATGTTCTACTTTTCTCTCTCAAATATTACTTCTTTGCTATTCTCCATGTCTCTTAGTGGATTTTTCTGACAATTATCTCTGTTATGGCTATCCTACAGCTCACTTCCTCTGAGTCCATTCTTACACTGTGTCCAGTTTCTTGTACACTTTGCCTATTGAGTTTACTTCAATGACTATATATTTAGTTTTCAAGGTTTCTAATTAGTTTTTCAAGAGTTTTTTGTTGTTTTAACTTCTGCCTGATTTTGTCTCATACTTTCTGTCCCTTTATTGGTGATACTTCTTCTCACTGAGGACCTTAGATATATTTATTTAAAGTTATTTTTAGACTACAATTTTACTTTTGTTTGGGGTGAATTCATGGAGTTTTTTATTAGTTTGTTTTAGGTCTTTTATCAAATTTGATTTCCTCATGTGCATTGGAATTTTTGTTTGCAGGCTTATCTTAAGAGGGAGGTCTTGGCCCCCCTCCCTACCTACACACACATACACTATTTCACTTAGGATGCATTTGACTTCTTGTAAGAGGAAATCCAACCAACACTCGTTAGACCATATGACATGTACTATTTACTTTAGGAGTACAGAGGCTGGGTGGTCCAAGGGTCAATGAGTGTCCAACAACATCAGGATTCCAGGTCAGTATCTTTCCTTTTCCTCAACAGTGGCAAGAGGCTGTCTTGGCTTCAGGCATCCTGTCATTATATAATAACATCCCAGGTGAGATGGGAGATATAAGCAGAAGGCAGCAGCTTTTTCCCCACAAATGCTTTTTTGGGAAGAAAACCTTTCCCAGAAGCCCTGAGGGGTGAGCCTGATATGGGTCTTTTACCTGGTGTTTAACACATATACTATCTACCTACTATGCAAGAACAAAACTCTCAGGCATCCCAGACTAATGGAGAGCTTAGCAAGACAGCAGTTCCAGCTTCCACTCACCCTTTTGGGTTTCCCTTCCAATTCACATCCATAGACTGTCATCTCCATTTTGAACTTGGCTATAATTTTTTTTTTTTTTTTTTTTACATTTCTTTTTATATTTCATCTGTCATTACTATGTGCTCAAGATGGGAGGAAAGGAAGGGGGCTTCAAACTATGTACTTACAATGCTATCTGGATCCAAGTTCCACTCTTCTTTCTATTTTGATTATGGAATGTGACTCCTATGTTGGGTAAATGATCAAACTACACAAATAACTTGGTTTGAAGGAGGTGGACCAGAGGGATAAAGAGAGAGTCACCTTTTATAATCTTTATGGATGTGTGAGGCTTAAAACAGGTGAAGCTCAAATCAGCAAGACACAAACACCCTCAATAAGATACATACTCAGCTTAGAAGGACACACCCGCCCCTTGAGCTTATTAACGCTTGAGGGCGGAGACTGTAGCTCAAATATATTTTCCATATGACTTGAATTCCAAAATCAACCTCTAAAGCCATGAATTTCTGTTACTTAGACCTCGAATTAGCTTCACTATGGCAATTGTGAGGATCAGTATTTAATCTTGGTTAATTCAACTGGAGTGTGATTTCCTACTTGGAAACAATTGGGGTAGGATATGAATACCTCGAACCACGGAACCCTTTTGCCTGCCCAGCGGGAACTTGATGTACACCCCACAAGGCATGGAGTCAGGAAGGTGGAGGGACCCAGGGCCTTGTCTGTATCTCTCCCTCCGGAGGGCCTATGTTAGATACCTTACAGCACCAAGTAAATAACACGCTCCGTTTAACCGGCACCTATTTGTCAGTCGCTGGCTTTTCTAAGCCTGCTAGAAGAGTTTTGGAGCAAAGGTGGAGCGGTTTCTAAGATTCTTTCAAAGGCTTTGTTTTCAGAACTCATTTCCCCTTGTCTCTTTCAAAGGAAAAGAAAGTTCTGTACAACTTACGTACTAACAGTTTTTCCAAGGGAATTGGAATTCAGCATTTCAAAGACCTTGCTTTCAGAACTTTTTTCTTTCCACTTTTTCCCTGCCAAAACCAGAGAGCTCTAGGCAGTTTACCAAGGAAGTTCTCCCGAAGGTACTGGACGGTAGCTCGGGATAGGGCCGCGTGACGCGCCCCACTGCCAATTGCTTCCTGCTTCCGGCGTGCTGCCGTTTAAGGGGGAGGGGCTTTGGCGGAGACTGCGGCTGCCGCGGGGGTGTCACTACCCGGTCCTCACAGTGCGCAGGCGCCTGCTCGGGCCGTGAGCTTCGGGCTGCCGCTCAGGCCTCGTCTCGGCCTCTGAGCGCGTCCACCTTCACGTCCCCGTCCGTGTCGTCCCAGGCCCGAAGACCTGCACCCCACCTGCGCGCCCGACGCTGTGCTGGGCCCTGGGAGCCAAAGCCTGATCTAGTCGCCCTTGGTGAGTTGGGCTGTAGCTCACAGCCGCTCGGGCTGAGTCTTCTCGTTTGCCTTGGCCACTTTTAAGGAGCTAGCGTTGTGTGCAGCCCCCAGCTGCTGTGCTGATTGCACGTAAATGATTGAGCTCCCACAGAGGGTGGGAAAAGCGGACCGACAGTTTACCTCGCTTTAAGGACCTAGGTACGGAGGTGTAGGAAGTGAGCCTATCAGGGCTGTGCAACCGCGCGGGAGGGGTCGTCGTCGCGTTGCTTTAGGGCGTCTGCTATAGTCTAGAGCAGTGGCGAAACATGGCCCCAACTTAGCCTGCCACCTGTTGTGAATTACCGGCCCTCAGTCGCAGGCATTTGTCGGCTTACATTTTCTATCGCTATTTTCACTCCTAAGTCGGGTATTTGCACCAGAGATGGTACGGCCCGCAAAGCCCCAAAGTATTGGCTGTCTGGCCCTTTGAAGCAAAAGTTTGGTCTTCAGCCTATTGAGAAGAAACTTAAGACTTCTGGGAGAGCCCTGAGAGATTCAGGGAACCTTCCTGCAGTCCGTCTGGCATCCCTTCTGTCTGTTCTGGGTGTGTGAGATCCGAGTGCTGCCTATTCACTTACCAAGATAAATCTAAGTGCACTTAACTTTACCTGGGTCTGACAGCCTGAGTGAGGTTCATAGTTTACCCGAGCCCCAGTAATTCCCTCCAAAAGATGTTCTGTCACTAGGAAAGGACAGAACTAAAGAAGATACTGTGATATTAGCAACAGTAAAATATTTGTGATTATTTGCATCTTTGTGAGGGTTTTGGGGTATTACGTTATTCACTTTGGTGACATCTGCCAAACATAGGAAAGCCAGTAAAACCCCTTGACCACTCATCCTAACACCTTTGTACCAGCTCCTCCTCGGTGGCCCCAAGGTCACGGAACACAGTGGAGCTGCAGGCTGCCACAGTTGTGAGTTCAAGGCAATCCTCAAAAGCTGTGCCTATGGGAGAATGAGTTGGGTCTTCCTCCTCCTTAGGGTTTCTGCCCATTCATTCCCTGCTCCAGGTGGAACAGCCGAGGCAATAGGGTGCACAGAATGTGTAGTATATCTACATGGGGTGAATGAATCAGTGGGAGCATTGCCAGGTCTGCTCCACGTAAGGAGTTCCGGAGCGTGCTTGTTCAGGATATGGTTTTTCCTTCATAACCCAAGGTTATTCTCTAGGATTATGGTGTATCTCTCAAACAACGGTAAGGAAAATTTACTTGAAGCTTGAAAATAAGGCAAAAATACAGGAATTTTAAATGGCTACCAGGCTCAACCAAGGGGCACCTGGGTGGCTCAGTCGGTTAAGCATCTGACTCTTGATTTCAGCTCAGGTCATGATCTTGGGCTCCGTGCTCAGTGGGGTGCCTGCTTGGGATTCTCTCTCTGCCCTCCCTGCTTGTGCTCTTTCTCAAGTAAGTCTTTTTTTTTTTTTTTTTTTAAAGATTTTATTTATTTATTTATTTGAGAGAGAGAGAATGAGAGACAGAGAGCATGAGAGGGAGGAGGGTCAGAGGGAGAAGCAGACCCCCTGCTGAGCAGGGAGCCCGATGCGGGACTCGATCCTGGGACTCCAGGATCATGACCTGAGCCGAAGGCAGTCGCTTAACCAACTGAGCCACCCAGGCGCCCTCTCAAGTAAGTCTTAAAAAAAAAAAAAAAAAAAAAAGGCTCACCCAAGGATAATTTGTTTATGAGATGCTACTGTGTTTGACCTTGTGTTTTACCATTTATTAGAGCTCAGACATTGTAAAGTTACATGCTGACTTGAGTTCTGCTTGATAGAAAAAAAAACAAATTATGGTTTTATTGCTCTGTAGGATAGTAACTAGTTTCACATATGGCATAGCAATTATTTTTAAATATATTTTTTTGTTTTGTTACTTTTTTCCCTGAAAATCTTATTCAAGCATTCTTTTTTTTTTTTTTTTTTTAAATCCCTTTTATTGAAGACTGTGCAAGCCTGTTCCTCACATACTCTTGGAAGCAGCTCTACCACCTTACTAGCATGTACTTGGAGCGAAAGGCAGGCCCAACTCTGTAGTTTTAAGCCTCTTCTCTTTTAATGTACTCTGACTTCCCATTGGCCAAGGTAAATCACATCAAACTCAAGGGCAACGAACTTCTCGAAAGGAGGTGGGAATAAATATTACCTGAACAAGTGTCTAACCTACTATAACAGTTAAGTTTATGTGTCAACTAACTGGTCCATGGGATGCCCAGATAGCTGGTTAAACATTATTTCGGTGGTGGGCTGGGGGGGGGGGGGGGTCTGTGAGGGTACTTACCGAAGAGATTAGCATTTGAATTAGTAGACTGAGTACAGCTGATGGCCCTCCTCAGTGCAGGTGGGTATCCTCTAATCCATTGAGGGCCTGAATCCAACAAAAATGCAGAGGGAGGGAGGATTCTTTCTCTGCCTGAGTGCTGAGCTGAACGTCAATCTTCTGCCCTTTGCCTTCAGATTCAACTGGAATCTACACTATCAGCTCTCTGGCTCACAGGCCTTTGAACCACACTACTGGCCTTCCTGGCTTCTCTAGCTTGCAGGCGGCAGATCATGGAACTTCTCAGCCTCTGTAATTGCGTGGGCCAATACCTTATTACATATATTGGCTCTGTTTCTCTGGAGACCCGTGACTAATACACCTGCCAGAGTGAATGAGCTGGAGAATTTCATTAACAGAACCCATTACAGATTCTTAGAACAAATAAAAAAGATCATGTGCTATACAAAATATAAACGCATATGAACTGACTTCTCAGCAAAAGCAAATTGCAAACTGCACCTCCGTGAATGTGTATCACAGACTTCGTTGAGCATAGTGGAGATGATAAGTAAATTCAGCCAATCCACACATGGTAATGCTGTAATCTTGCGCTGGCATCATGTAGAGATTTTTTTTTTTTTTAATGAATGCCAGTTGTATGTAACTTTGCAGGAGGTAAAGAGATATAGGTGATATAACTATGTTTATAAAAGACTAAGCTTATACCCATTATGAAAACATCTAGGGGGGGCGCCTGGGTGGCTCAGTCGTTAAGCGTCTGCCTTCGGCTCAGGTCATGATCCCAGGGTCCTGGGATCGAGCCCCGCATCGGGCTCCCTGCTCAGTGGGAAGCCTGCTTCTCCCTCTCCCACTCCCCCTGCTTGTGTTCCTGCTCTCGCTGTGTCTCTATAAAAAAAAAAAAAAAAAACAACCTTTAAAGAAGAAAACATCTAGGACGGAACAGCAAATTTGAATCAGACAGAGGTAGGAGACTCTACAGCCTGGGAGCCAAATACAGCCCACCCCCCATTTTTTGTAAATAAAGTTTTCTTGGAGTCCAGTCATGGGCCTTCCATTATGAGTGGTCTGGGGCTGCTTTTGTGCTACAACAGCAGGGTCGAATGCGTGGAACAGAGATCACAGGGCCCATGAAATCTAAAATAGTTTGTCTCCGGCCTTTCACAGAAAATATTGTTGACCCCTGATCTAGAAGGATACCACAGGTGTGATTTTTACCTGCTCTTAAGTTGCCTCTGGAGACACCACAGCCTGCACAGCCAGCGAGGTGACGGCAAGGGCAGCAGGACAGGCCTTGCGAATGCCCCAGCCTGTGACAAGTGGAGCCTGCTCGGAGATGTGGGGCAGGGTCTGCTCGAGGGCCTACTCCTCCCTTCCGGCTCCTCCTCAGGCTTCCTAGAAAAATGTTTCCTGAAGGGAAAAATGTTATGGGTATCACCATCCCTCAAGAATTAGGAAGGTTCACCTCTGTTATACATCTTGAGCTGAAAACAAGAGCTATTTATGTGAAGATGTGAAAAACTCGATTTGCAGCAGTAGCGACGGGCACATGCAATGTCAGGCTGCTTTCTCTCCACTGACATTGCTGGGATTAAAAATAGCTGTTCTGTTTGTCCTTCAGTCTTGTATTGAACTGGAGCCTCTGAGCTGAGTTCTCCTTAGCTTCACGCTTAATGAAGCATAATTTATATTAATAGCAGCTATTAAATCTAGAGTGCTTAATAGGAATTTAGAGTGGAGGCCCTGAGTCACCGTGCTCCGCCAGTGTGGTCCCCAGAGAGCTGAGCTCAGGCCCTGAACGCCGGTGGCAATGAATCTTGGGCCTGGTGAGGTAAAGCAGCTGTGGAGGAGGAGCGCGGCTCAAAATCTCCAGCTGAGCCTGGAGTCTGTCCGGTCCCAGGTCTTGTGGCGGTCCCTTGGTAGTGTAACAGCAGATGTGCATTCGGCTTGTGCTTTGTGACCTGGCTCTCTGAGCTTCAGCATGTTTTTTAGCCTGGGAAATGGTGGTATTTGAATGGGTATACTCTAAGAAATGGGAGTTGCTATCAAGAATCATAAGACACATAGAAATGAGGATTTGATACTGGTTCTGCACCGCAGTGCAGATCTAGATCTGCTTAATGACTGAGCCACCCAGGCGCCCCCCTAGATGTTTTCATATGAACTGACCAGGTCTAGATACTGGTTCTGCACCTCAGTGCAGATCTAGATCTACATCTATCGTAGATGTAATGTGGAAGGACTTCTGTAGAAAATTACTGTGGGAAACAAAATAGCTCTCTTTTAGACCTGAATTAGCAAACCTTTCCTTACTTGTCCAGGTTTCCTTCCATTAGCACACATTGTGTTTGCATTTTCGCTGTGTTATAAATGCCCTCCTCAAATGTCTCTCTGCGCCCCCACCCACCATCCCACGGGTCCCTTACAGGTATTGGGAGAAGAAAATGTCTTTCTCATCTGTGACTTGCCATTGCTTCGCCCAGGGTCTGGCACCAACTAGGTGTGTGGTTATGGGGTTGCTGTGAGCACGGTTATTTTACAGTTAAGAAAACAGTTAAACACAGGGTCTAATTGTCTGGTTTGATACCATCCCCAGCTGCTTGTCCTTGGGCAGATCACTTAGTCCGTCTGGACTTCAATTTCCACATCTGCAAAATGGGGTTAATAAAAGTATACCTCATAGGCTGTTGGGAAGATGAACTATAAAAATAAGGCAGTTAGGGGACACCTGGGTGGCTCGGTTGGTTGAGTGTCTGCCTTTGGCTCGGGTCGTGGTCGCAGGGTACTGGGATTGAGTACCGCGCTGGGCTCCTTGCTCAGCGAGGAGCCTGCTTCTCCCTCTGCCTGCCGCTCCTTCTGCTTGTGCTCTCTCTTTGTCTCAAATAAATATAAAATCTTAAAAAAAAAAAAAAAAGGCACTTAGGATGTGCTTGTGCCCTCTGGTTATTTCTAGTAGAGCGGGAAAGAAGATGTCGATGCATAGGCTGTAGCTCCTTCTGTCAGTTGTGTACTCGGTGCGAAAGTCCTTTTCTGTGCTGGCCTGTGGGGCCGGTCCACGTGGTGGAGGCCTGGCTCTGTGCACAGCTTCTGCTCAGCACTCGGGTAAGTGGGAGACCTCAGCAGAATGTGGACCTTCTAAGAAATGACCAAGTTGGCAGCTCCTCTTTGGAGGATACTGTTTGAGGCAAGTCATTACAGCAACACCCTGGGTCCTTTTAAGCACGCCCAGGAGAAAATGCTTTTCACAATCTACTAAAGCCCCGAAGCAGGAGGATTAATAACAGCTTTTGTCTGGGACTCAGGCAGCCCGCAGGAAGAGCAGCAGTGAAGACCTGGCCAGATGGAGGCCTGTGCATCCTCACTGAGCATCCCTTTCCAAGGAAGCAGTGGTGGGAGAGAGGGAGAGAATTCTTACTGCTGTAGCCAACAGTGAGGAGCTCTGCTTCACGAACAAGCGGATGAGTCCGTAGACCATCCAGGGTGTCAGTGCTTCGATCAGGTCGTTCTTCATTTCTGTGTTGCTGGCTTAACGCTAGTGATTCAGTGACGGAGGTGGGGCTCTTTGCTGGGCTGTGGACATCAAAACCAGAGTTCCCAGGACATTTGCTCTTCTGTGGTGTGCGGCTGTGTATGCCCTCTGGCCTGGCACTCCCCCCAGCTGCAGGGATCACTGGCGATCCTTGGGGCGAAGAGGGCCTGGACACTGGCAGAGCACTACACTGTGGAGTGACCTAGGGAGACTCAGGGGCAGGGCAGTAATAGCACAGCTGACTCACAAGCTGCTTGTTTCCTGAGCAAGGCACAGGGTAAGGCAGTGGAGAGAAACATGGGAACAGAGTCCCCATGCACCCGGGAGTGGACCCAGCTTTTGTGTGCCCTTTCCGGAAAATAATACAGGCTGATAATCACAAAAGTAGGTAAAAAGTTAGAGTGCCTAGGTGGTGCAGTCGGTTAAGCATCCGACTCCTGGCCTCGGCTCATGAGACCGAGCCCTGTGTTGGGCTCTGTGCTCAGCGGGGAGTCTGCTTGGTATTCTCTCTGCCTCTCCCTCTGCCCCTCCTACTTGTGCTTGCTCGCTCTCTTTAAAATAGATAAATCTTTTAAAAAAAAGTAGGTAAAAAGTAGATCTTTATTTAGAGGAAGAAAGAAATGACATCAAATTTCAGATTTTTTTTTTTTTAAAGATTTTATTTATTCATTTATTTGAGAGAGTGAGAGAGAGAGAGCACATGAGAGGGGGGAGGGTCAGAGGGAGAAGCAGACTCCCTGCCAAGCAGGGAGCCTGATGCGGGACTTGATCCTGGGACTCCAGGATCATGACCTGAGCCGAAGGCAGTTGCTTAACCAACTGAGCCACCCAGGGGCCCCAAATTTCAGATTTTTAAAAGCTGACAAAACGGGCGCCTGGGTGGCTCAGTTGGTTGGGCGACTGCCTTCGGCTCAGGTCATGATCCCAGGGTCCTGGGATCGAGTCCGCATCGGGCTCCCTGCTCTGCGGGGAGCCTGCTTCTCCCTCTCCCACTCCCCCTGCTTGTGTTCCCTCTCTCGCTGTGTCTCTCTCTGTCAAATAAATAAATAAAATCTTAAAAAAAAAAAAAAAGCTGACAAAACTAGACAAATAATATTGTCCTTGAATTAACAGCTAGATGCCACTCTGTAATAATTTTTACTAACCTATTTTGGTAGCATATTCTTTTTTTTTTTTAAAGAATTTATTTGAGAGAGACAATGAGAGAGAGAGAGAGAGAGAGAGAGAGCGCGCACATGAGAGGGGGAGGGTCAGAGGGAGAAGCAGACTCCCTGCCGAGCAGGGAGCCCGATGCGGGACTTGAGCCCTGGACTCCAGGATCATGACCTGAGCCGAAGGCAGTCGCTCAACCAACTGAGCCACCCAGGCGCTCGGTAGCATATTCTTTAATTGTCAATTCATGTAGGGACAATTTTGTAATGTCATTTACTGTGAGGACAGAAAAGTGATTCAGTCTCTCTTCTTGCATAGTTTATCAGACATTACTGTATATTATTGGTAGTTTAGGAATACCTCTTTCATCCTCACGAATCCTTATAGTATGTCGTGGAAATGTGAGGATTGTTGTAAATTTGGAAAAAACTTCTATTTTCAGGGTATGGATCGTATTTCCTTCTGCTTGTTTGTTTCTTGTTTGGTAGTATTCTGGTCCTCATCATCTTCTATCTCTTCTGTTATTTCATGATCTACACTTTTTGGATACCATGATTCCTTCCTTCTCTTCATCTGGACCTCAACATTTTAGTCTAAAGTGATATGAGAGGTTTGGACATATTGACATCTCTCCTAGTCTGTCTTTTAGTTGGTATTTTTGGCTTCCATTAGGATACTTCCTTTCTGTTGTATTTGAGTTTTGGAATGTTCATTAATTCTGGAAAAAAATACACAAAATTGATCTGTAATTAAGGAACACACAAATCCAAACACGTTTTTAAATACTAGTACTTTGTATTTAACTGCATAATTGCGAAATCAACTTACTTTTAGACAATATATTTTGACTGTGTTGGGGTTTTTCCAGGCAAGTTTCTTCAGGTCCTTCTCTTGCATCAGTGGTAATTTTTTTTTTTTCTTTAAAGATTTTCTTTAAATTCAAGTTAGTTCACATTCATCAGTGGTAATTTGTATGCAGTTTTATCTGAAACTTGCAGATTTTTTGGAGGAGAAATTGTTAGATACTCCGTGATACATGGAGATGTTTAAAACGTGCTATTTCCTACATAGACATGTTTTCTGTTTGTAGTATTGCTGTAGGTTTCTGCCTTACAGTGCAAGAATTAAGATAAAATTTATTTTGTTGCATTTCCATAAAAAAAAGAATTTTAAAATGTGTGCCAAATGTATAGTTGTGTGTACAACGTTATTAAATGTATTCCTGAGAAGAGAGATCTTTTTTTTTTTTTTAAGATTATATTTATTTATTTGAGAGAGAGAATGAGAGAGCACGAGAGGGAAGAGGGTCAGAGGGAGAAGCAGACCCCCCTGCTGAGCAGGGAGCCCGATGTGGGACTCGATCCCAGGACTCCAGGATCATGACCTGAGCCGAAGGCAGTCGCTTAACCAACTGAGCCACCCAGGCGCCCCGAAGAGATAAAAAGTCTAGGATGGCACTATCTAAGATAGTGTGGATAGGCACTGAAGCCTTTGCTGGTAACTAATCTTCCTGTGGTTGTACGATGGAGCTCTGACTCCATGCATTTTGAACTTGATTTCTCTCCCACCCCCAGGTGCTGTGGAACATGTTTATGCCATCATACAATCTCTGGACTTGCACCTTTGTACAAGCTGCTGGAGGAGTCGGCCAGTGGGTGGTAAGAGTATTTCCTGAGAATGACTGCACAGCCCTTTGTGGAATACCCACTAAACGATCCCACAGCTCTTCCAATGCCAACTCCAGGAAGGGAAATGACACAGGGGGGAAGTCAGCTGGAGAAAGACGGCATTATGTTTAAATGTCTTATTTTTGACAAATCGTGACCATGAGAACACATTGCTGGGGCCGCTGTCAGGGCCTTGGGAGGGGACTGGGCAAGTGAGGAGCATTGAGGAAAGGGGCCTCAGCTTTGTGGGGGAATCCACCTCTGTGGGCCCACAGGAGCTCATCTAGGAGGGAGGGAGCAGGGGAGATAGGCTAGGAAACAGGCCATGCAGGGTGATATGATGGGTCCGTGTCAGAGGGAAGCAAGGTCAGTGGAGAAGCAGAGAGGAGGGACCCAGGTCAGCTGGGAGGGCAGGGAAGGCATCCTTGAGGAGGTGGTGTCCAAGCTGAATGATGGCCACTGCTTAGCCAGATGAACAGATGAGAGAGGCATTTCAGGTAGAGGGCACAGTGAGAGCAAGGGCCCAGAGGTGTGGGTGTATGCAGAGTCCAGGGATGCACAAATCCTTTGGTATGGCTGGAATTCAGAGTACCAGGAGAGGAGAGAAAAGTGGCTTAATAGAATAGCAGAGGTGGGATGGCAAAGGACCTAGAGACCATGGTAAGGGGAGGATGGGCCCTGGGAGGCACTGGAAGATGCAGGTGTGATTTGTATTTAGAAGGCTCACTTGAAGCTGGGTTGAATTGGAAAGGAGTCAGAAGAGACTGTGCTGGTGCAGCGTGGGGGAGAGTGGCTATGTGTGAGAAGAGTAGGTCTGTGTATTAGAAAAAAATAAGGTATGAGGGGAAAAATGAAAACTTCGGATAAGTGGGGATTTCCAAGAATAACAACCCAGGTATCTGGGTTGATGGGGATGTCAAATGAGGGGACAGAGGAAGAGAAGCATATTGGTTGGAGGAAGATGAGGGGCTGCTTGAGGTTCTTACAGTGACGATGCCCCATGAAGGGGCCTCAGATACACCCACACTGCTGGTGAGGAATCTGCTCTAAGTGGTGACTTTTGCAGGTCAGTGAAGCCAAAAGCAGGCATGAGCTACTCGAAGGAGACAGCGTGATGTGAAAGAATCAAGGGCATAGCACCAAACCCTGAAACACTAATACTGAAGACAAAAAAAAAGTATAGAACAGTGGGAAGAAATGGTAAAGTGTAGGAGAAAGATCAGACTCCAGGGAATTTTCCTGAATTTGAGCATGACCTAGAAAAAGATAGAATTAGGCAGAGCTTTCAAGGAATACTGGATGGTTGGGGAAGCGCAAATAAAGGCAAGCATGTTTTCCTTTTTACAGTTTCAGGTGATTTTCCATGTTGGCATCATCTGGTGATGGGAGGGGAAAACTACCATTCTCTTGTTATTTTTTCTCGGTGGGATTGGAGGGGATATAAAACCATAACATTCTCAGTATCTGAGGCAGACATTCCATGAAATTAGTAGAGAATATGGACAAATACCAGATATGGAGGTTTTTGCCTAAAATTATCCTGGCACTATCTCTGTGGCCTAAAGTGTGAACCCAGCTTTTGCATATACATTTGAATTTACTAATGACATTATTTAACTCCTATGATAATAGTTTTGTGTTTTGCATTCTATGTAGATGAATATAGATACTCGTTATCTCAGTTAATTAGCCAGAATAATGCTATGTAATTTAACACAGCAGAAGTTTATTTCCCAATCATAATTCCTCTCTACCATGGGTCACTTGGAGTTCTGCTCCATAAGGCTATTCAGGGGTTCCAGGCTGACAGAAGGTGGATCATCTTGAAGCGCCACCATCTGGAACACTCGGCTTCCTCAGTCCCCTGAACAGAAAAAAAGAGAGCTGCTGTGTCGTGCCCTATAGCTCGACAATGCTTTGTTCCGGAAGGGATATGGACGACTTTGATGTCTAGCCCTTCGGCCAGGACAAGTCACACAGCCCCATCTAACTGTCTAGGGGTGGGGATGTAGAGGAGTACATCCATATATGATAGGCGGTGTATGTCTCTGCAACACCCAATATTGTATAAATCCAAATTACCCCCAAACAGTTTAGGTCAAAAAATATCTCACAATTAATATGAACAAGTATCTGTAAAATGCTTTTACTGGAAATCATCTAAATAAATACAAATGGAAATGCATCTATATAATTTTACAATGTCTGGTTTCATTGGAAGCAATTTATTTTTTAAAACCCTAGTAATTTAGATTTTGACATAGTATTTTTAATATTAATTGTAGTACCACATTGGCATTCCACTTATATATTTTCTGATATTAATTCAAGAGTAACTAGAGTATTTTTTATTGTCATTTTTATATGAAAATAAGTGTAGGAAATTCAGAAAATTACAGTCATAAAAAGTTTTAGCTATATTGCTTTTGCTGTAAAACCCAATCTTAGCATAATTTAAGTATGTCATGATATGTTTCTATCTTTGCTTTCTGTAGTAAGTGCAACAAATACTAAGAAGATAAAACACATAGTCACATAAGAAATTGAGTTTCAACAAAAACTTAATTCAACAGATTTTTTTCTCATTCCAATTTATAAGGAAATTACTAGACTGTCAAATGTTAAATTTCCCAGTTTTATTATACAATCATTTTTATTTGGAAGGAAAAGCATTCAATACAAAGTACCTATCTCTGGAATTCCTAATCCTTTGCAGAAAATAAAGCTCATATGTAAGATTTTTTTGTTGTTTAAAAGAAAAGTCAGGGGATAGTTTCATTTCCCTTTCTTGGCTTAGAATCCACCATTTCATAGGCCAAGATTGAAAGTGACACGTTTTCTTCATTTTTTTTTTTTTAAGGATTTTTAGGGGCAGCTGGGTAGCTTAGTTGGTTAAGCATCTGACTCTTATCTCAACTCAGGTCTTGATCTCAGGGTTGTGAGAGCAAGCCCCTTGTTGGGCTCCATGCTGGGCATGGAGTCTACTTAAAAAAAGGATTTTTAGCTGCATGTAAAGAGAAGCACTCCTTTATTTCTTCTTTACACACACATGAGACTTCTGATACCCACATGTGTGGGTTTTCCACACAGCAAGCAATTGTCTGTGACACCAGCTGGGTGTCCTGTAATTCACTTCAATTCAGACACCATCCACTTGGAGTCAGTCAGATCCCACATGCTAAGGTCTCAGTCCCACAAGACTGCCCAACTTCAGATGCCAGTCACAAGTCCCAGCTTCTCACCTGGGCTTCTGACTGATTGGTTATAAATCAAGGTCCCCTCAGCCCCCTGGTTATAAATCAAGGTCCCCTCAGCCCCCTCCTTGGGCTTGATCATTTGCTGGAATGGCTCACAGACTCTGGGAAACTGTTACGTTTACGGGTTTATTACAAAGAATGCAATAAAGTATACAAATGAAAAGCCAGATGAAGAGATACATAGGATGAGGTCTGGAAGGGTTCTGAGCACAGGAGCTCCGTGCTCGCTTCGGCAGCACATATACTGAGCACAGGAGCTCCTACCCCTGTGTGACTGGAGTGTGCCATCCTCCTGGCCTGCAGGTGTGTTCACCAATCCAGATGCTCTCTGAACCCAGTATTATAGGGATTTTTATGGAGGACCACATAGGCTTGATTGACCATTAACTCAACCTTCAGCCCCTCTCCCCTTCCTAGAGGATGGGGAGTGGGACTAAAAGTTCTAAGCTTCTAATCATGGCTTGGTCTTTCTGGTGACCAGTTCCAGGAGCCCACCAAGTAACCTCAGTAGAAGAGAAGATTCTCCTATCACCCAGGAAATTCTGAGCCCTGTGTCAGGAATAGGGTCTGAGACCAAATATTAGAACAAAACATGCTCTCAGTGTTCTTACCACTTTAGAAACTACAAGGGTATAGGAGCCGTGTGTCAGGAACTTGTGGCTCTTTACAAAGAGTTGCATGGAGTTTGTTTTTTTTTCCTGGTCAGAATATATTTATTTTTAAGAAAACTTTTTAAAAGTTTTTTTTAACATTTTATTTTATTATTTTATTTTAATTCCAGTATGGTTAACATAGTGTTATATTAGTTTTAAGTGTACAATGTTGTAATTCAACAATTCTATACATTATTTAGTGTTCATCATGTTAAGTGTACTCTTTAATCCCCTTCATCTACTTTAGCCCTCCACCCACCTCCCCTCTGGTAACCATCAATTTGTTCTCTATAGTTAAGAGTTTATTTCTTGATTTGTCTTTTTTTTTTTCTTCGTTTGTTTCTTAAATTCCACATATGAGTGAAATCATATGGTATTTGTCTTTCTCTGACTTGACTTTGCTTAGCATTATACCCTCTAGTTCCATTTATGTTGTTGAAAATGGCAAGATTTCATTCTTTGTTATGACTGAATAATATTCCATATATATACACTTACCACATCTTCTTTATCCATTCTTCTATCAGTGGACACTGGGCTGCTTCCCTAATTTGGCTATTGTAAATAATGCTGCAATAAACATAGGGTTGCATATATCCTTTTGAATTAGTGTTTTTGTTCTCTTTGGGTAAATAGCCAGTAGTGCAATTACTGGGTCATATGGTAATTCTACTTTTAATTTTTTGAGGAACCTCCATACTGTTTTCCACAGTGGCTGCACCAGTTTGCATTTCTACCAGCAGTGCACAAGTGTTCATTTTTCGCCACATCCTCTCCAACACTTGTTTCCTGCGTTTTTGATTTGAGCCATTCTGACAGGTGTGAGGTGATATCTCATTATGGTTTTGATTTGCATTTCCCTGATGATGAATGATGTTGGGCATCTTTTCATGTGTCTGTTTGCCATCTGTATGTTTTCTCTGGGGAAATGTCTGTTCATGTCTTCTGCCTATTTTTAAATTGGATTATTTGGTTTTTGCGTGTTGAGTTATATGACTTCTTTATATATTTTGGGTATTAACCTTTTATCTAATATGTCATTTGCAAATATCTTCTCCCATTCAGTATGTTGTCTTTTAGT